CAACAAATAACAACAGTCATAGCAAACAAAACCCTTAAAAAGGTCGGGTTTTTCAGTGGTGGCAAAACCAACTAACCGAAATTGCTAAAGGGAGAAAACCATTGCCCAAAACGGTGAGAAAGAAAGTACCAAAAGCCACACAGATTCCATCAACCCTAATCTAATACGAAACATAGACAATTGTATTGCAAGGCCCAAAACTCAGACACCTCTCTCTCTCTCTCTCTCTCTCTCTCTCTCTCTCTCTCTCTCTCTCTCTCTCACACACACACACACACACACACACATTTGGGCCCTAACACGGGTCAACAGCAGGCAGGCGACACCGGTCTGCAGGGGTCTGTACCCAACCTGCAGGTGGGCGACGCCGGCCAGGGGTCAATCGGTAGTATTAGGACCAAACTTGTTTCGATGGGCTAGTCGCTGTGTCTCCCCTCCGGTCCCCTCCCCTGATGAACATTACCAGTCTCTGCTTAATGCCGCTCGGGGAGACCAATTCTCCCAATAGCTGGTTTAAACCGCCACTTCCCCCGATGCAAAAAATTGTGGCCTACTGGTAGGCAGCAATCGTCAAATTTTGATTGCGCTATCAGTTTTTCGCAGCCTATCGGGTGCCAGTCAGATTTGTCGTCGGAGAAGTGGGACATGTGCGTCCGCACCCGTTCGAGACCCTGTGTTGGCAGGAGGCGGTCGAAACTGTTTCTTGTGGACATCGAAGTGACCGTTGTGTCAGTTTTTCGTGAATTTCATTATCATTTTTCAAAAAAACAAATTATACTATATTTCATTTTCGTTCCGTTTTCTTGTATTTTTAAAGTTTTTCTTTATACGACTGTTTTGTTTTCACATATTTCCAGACGGGAAATGGACACCGTCCGTTCAGGCCAACACCGTTGCAGGAGAGCCATGCGGACCCGTCCCTATCACCTTCGAGTCTCGAAAAGGCACTGATAGGTGGTTGCTGTTCGTGTACCTCTGACAATTCTACGTGGCACGCTATCACTGCCATGCTATGGCATCCTGTCATTATCGCCAACGTGTTTGAACAAGCACGTCAGGGGAATTCCGTCGAATACTTGCACCCTTTCGGAATCGCGACCCATGCTCGGAAACGGGATCGGGTGGGAACGGTACAAGTCCTTCCCACCAGCACTGCCCATCGCGTCTCTCTCTCTCTCTCTCTCTCTCTCTCTCTCTCTCTCTCTCTCTCTCTCTCTCTCTCTCGTGAGTTTTGCTCTCTCTCTCTCTCT